GAGCAGTGCACAGGAAATACAGACGACAGAGAGGCATGATCAATGACACCACAGAGCACAGTCAGCCAAAATAAAAATGTCAGGGAGTCTATGGACAAATAACCCAGTTTCTTTAACAAATAAATGATAGCGGCAACGTGTGTGTGAAAGGATGGTGCTGTACATTAGAAGAAATCCAACAGACTTATCAAATACAACGTGTAAACATTGAGGCAATGCCGGAAAACAAGTCTTAGATGTTATCAAGGAGTTATTGTTGATTAAGGCAGCACTGTGGTTGTTCCAGTGATGTATCTGCTGAGGATCTAAACTGAAGAAATTACCAAACTGAAACAGACAAGCCCTGCCCTGGAGTTCATGCTGACTCATAGCGGCCCTACAGGGCAGCTGTTCTAACCTGTGGGATGGTGACCCCTTTGGGGGTCGAACGACCCTTTCACAGGGGTCACCTAAGACCATCGGAATGCACCTGCATACAGATACGCCCACATACGAGTACCCCATGTGAAGACTGTTACCCATGCTACACCATGCTTCAAGACAAAATTTCATTGATTTGTCATTAGAAATAAATATTTCATAATATATTATATATTGTTTTTGTGATTCATCACTATGCTTTAATTATGTTCAATTTGTAACCATGAAAATACATCCTGCCTATCAGATATGTACATGATTCATAACAGTAGCAAAATGACAGTGATGAAGTATGATGTTATGGGTGGGGATCACCACCACATGAGGAACCGTATGAAAGGGCCATGACATGAGGAGGATTGAGAACCCCTGCTCTAGGGCAAGGCAGAACTGTCCCTGTGAGTTTCTGAGACGAACTTTTTTTTTTTTTAAACATTTTATTAGGGGCTCATACAACTGTTATCGCAATCCATACACACATCAATTGTGTAAAGCGCATGTGTACATCATTCTCAAAACATTTTCTCTCCACTTAAACCCCCGACATTAGGTCCTCATTTTTCCCCTCCCTCCCCGCTCCCCCCTCCCTCCTGAGCCCTTGATAGTTTATAAATTGGTATTTTGTCATATCTTGCCCTGTCCGACGTCTCCCTTCACCCACTTTTCGGTTGTCTGTCCCCCAGGGAGGAGGTCACATATAGTTCCTTGTAATCGGTTCCCTCTTTCCTACCCATTCTCCCTTTACCGAGACGAAAGCCCTCTCTTTCTTCCAAGGAGTGGCTGGTGGTTTCAAACTGCTGGCCTTGCGGTTAGCATCCACTACACCACCAGGGTTCCTTGAAGAAATGGCAGGGGACAGGAGAAAAGTCTTTAGGTTTCCTGTAACATACACTGGCAGTTTGCTGATCATTGGAACCGGGCGATGGATGCGCAGGAGTTCATTCCACTATCTTTCTACTTTGGTGTATATTTGAAATTTTCCAAAGTTTTTCTTTTTTTAAGGATGTCAGGGAGTCTATAGCTCCTGAGAACCCAGGGTCCCAGCCAAAAAAAACCCAACACCCTTATCAGGGAGCTCTGCCCCACTCACAAGCACTCTGTGAGAAGAAAGCATTCCCAGCCTCGTGGAAAGCCCCTTTCTGGGGAAGTGTTTGGGGAAGTCCAGGAGTTTGCTGTTTTCTAGTGAACACTGGTGCTCTGTCTACCTCTGAAATTGAGAGACTCGTCACTGGGTAACCTGAGTAGACAGCCAAAATCTCCTGTCACAAAAGAACCACCTTTTCACAAACTCATTGGGCCAGCGGATCTTTAAAAAGCCCTTTAATCTTGCTCCTCAGCTCTGGACAGGTCCTTTCACCCACTTCATGCTTATTAAGATCAAATCCGAAGCAACCGCATAGGGCAGAGCAGAACTGCTCTGAAGAGTTTCTGAGGCTGTAAGAGACTATGAATCCTTATGGGAGCAGAAAGCCTCATAGTGCTCCTAAAGGGCGGCTGGTGGGTTTGAACTGCTAACCTTGTGGCTAGTAGCCCAACACTTAGCCCACTGTACCACTAGGAGTCCTTCAACATGAAGTCCCTATAACGTGGCAAGGGCAGAAAACAGGGCTCTGAACAAGACTGGCTCTGGCCACCTGGAGGTTACAATTTAATAGACTAGAACTAAGCCATCTAGCGCTCTTGAAATCTTTCCCGAATAGGACACGAATAGCAATGAATCACGCCTGCATGTGGGTGTTTCTACATGCCTGGCACTCTGCCGAGGACTTCAGATGTATTACTGCATTTAACAATGTCCAATTATCCAGTTTCTTAGGGAAGTTAATGGGTTACAGTTTAGGCTCAGAACTCTCTGGATACAGTTCTTCCGTCAGGCTTTACAATGCTCTCACAATGCCTCAGCCATGAGGTCCCTTGGCCTCTGCCTGGCTCAGGCAGTGTTACAAAGTTCCTTTAGAGTTGCTAAAAAATACCCAAAGGGTACTTACTCCCTTCTGTCATAAGCCTCAGCTGGAAGGCACTCAGGGATAGCGCTGTGGGTCAGCAAATCAAGCTCCCCTCCGTAAGCGCCTGAGGCAACCCACTCTGCAAATGAGTGCCCCCAAAGGCACTCGCCTTGAAGCTGCCACTCTGTCTCACATGCTGCCTTGCGGATCTGCGGCTGTCGTGTTACAGCTGATCCTCGGGTGTCACGGCTCTTAGGCACTGTCGAGGAGGTTGGATGTGCAGGCAGGGCTGTCAAGGTGCAAATGGCATGCTCCACTCCTTAATAGGAGTGAGAGCCCGGCTTCCTGCTTCTGAGATGGCTCACCGTGCACCCGGCAGGAAAGCAAAACAAACACCCACATTAGCAGTCTGCGTTTTTACAGTAACAGTCAGCTGAATCATATATCCCTCTCGGCATTTCCTCTTCTTACCCACACCTGTGAGGCACAGAGCAAGCAGCCCCAGTCTTCAGGGTCTCATCCCGTTGTTGGCCGGGCTACAAAGACCACGGCTGGAAGAGCCATAGGAAATCGTTCACGGCACCACAGAGGCCCAGACCGGCCCCCAGGTAGGTAATATTAGCATCTCCATTTTACACGCAACTGCAAGTGTGTGCACACGTGTCATGATAAACCCAGGCATGAAATCGTTGTGTGACTTGCTTATCTACTTGGTAAGCAGCCATGCTAGGGTTTGAACACAGGCTTCCTTAGCCACCCTCTCGGCCATGCGACCGTAAATTCCGAGCCACCTTGGCGGAAGCGGGCTCGTTTTAAGCACCAACGTGATCTTGATAGACAGACACGGGCAACAGGATATCGTGGCCTGGACACCAGAAAATGCGGTGTGGCCTTTAGCACCAGGAATGACAGGGCTCGAAGGCACTGCTCCAGCAAAAGTCACGGGTCTGGCCCACCTCCGCTGTTTATAGGTGGTGACGGCCACCCGTGGACGGGCGGTGAGCAGAGCTGGGATCTCCAGGACACGGAGGGCCTTTGCTCTAGGACAGTGGTTCTCAATCTGTGGGTCAAGACCCCTTTGGGGGTCAAACAACCCTTTCACAGGGGTCACCCGATTCCTAACAGCAGTAAGTAACAGTGATGAAGTAGTCATGAAAATAATTTTATGGTTTTGGGGAGGTCACCACAAGAGGAACCGTATGAAAGGGTTACAGCATTAGGAAGGTTGAGAACCACTGGTCCATGACAACAGCAGGCACCAGGCCGGGGTGTGGGTGGGGCAGAAGTCAGGCAGCACCCTCCAAGCTCTCGTCCCATGCTGCCCCTGAGGGTGCTCTCCTGAGCCTCCACTCAGCACAATGGCTAGGGGTTGGCCTGTTCCTTCCTGCTCACATCCCTTGCACAGTGCTTCGGACCCAAGCCTCGACAACTCAGCACTCAAGCCGAGCTCACACCAGGGCACTTCCATGCCAGGCGATGAGGTGGGGCTCCTGTTAGTGGCCCCCCAGCCTCTCACCATCGCCGAGGGTCATTGCCCTGATTGGACTCTGCTATTCCCCATCAGGTCCAAGGGCTTCACCTGGCCCCTCTCTTCCTCCCACTGAATTCAAGTCTGTAATCGAAAGAGTTGATAAATGATCTCTTGCTTGCAACTCAATAAAACAGCACAACACAGCCTGGGTGGAGGTTAGACTGGTGATGCAAACAATCTTCCAGCCCTTTAAATCAATCGTGGGAGCCCAGAAGCCACTGCAGGGACGCAGCCTGGCCCCTGAGGAAGAGTCTTCTCCAGTTGGAGCTCCTGCGTTTCAGGCCTGGTTGGCCCTTCTTCCCAGGTCCCCTCAGCCTCTGTGGGCTCCAAGCAGGTCACCTTGGCCACAGTTTGCTCAGCTGAGAAAGGATCATCTGCCCCTGCCAGCTCACTGGAATTCCTTAACATCCCTAAAGCTCTACACACAGACATACAAGACTACAGTCTACTGTCTACCGGTTTCACTGGAGCAGCCTTGGGATTAGACTCTTCCCTTCTCTACCCAGCCCTGCCACTGCCCTCCCCCAGCCCCGGGCTTAGTACGGAGTTGTTCCCTTTCAGGTGCAGTCGGCAAGTGGTTGCTCACCGTGTAGTTAGACAACTGAGTAGCTGCTTCCTTTCAGGCATTCAATAAACACAAGTTCAGCAGCTGTTGGTGCCAGGACCGCCCTGGCAAAGAAATGAAAGACAAGCAGGGAGGCCGGATGCACACGTTACGCTCTGTCCCCCAATCAAGTCTACCTAAGCCCATTTCCACAGCCACTGAGGGCAGGTCCAATGTGGGACGCCCCAATCACCAACACCTTTGTCCCCAACAAGAAGCCCCCTCCCACAGGCAGCGTTGAGGCAGGCAGCCTTAACGTGGACACACAAAGGGTTTCATTTGAGAAGAAAACGAACAATATGTTGGGAAACATGGTGAGGATCTTTGTTAACAGGACAGAAAATATGGTGGATCTTCAATTCCCTAAACCAGTTTTCCTGACAGATTCCATTTCCTCACCCACCTTGGATGGTCCAAAGACATAAGCCTGCACCCCAGGCTCAGGTAGGAAAAGGAAGATGTTAAAGATAACGACGTTTCAAAGGAAAATGATTCATACTGTGTTTGAAATATGTTTATTGAACATACGACATGAGCTGCTGTCAAATAATTTAAAGATAGCCTGCATTTCACCCACAAACCACAGTTTCACGTGATTAAATGGAAATATATGATTCCCCTCCAGCCCCATAGGCAAAAGAAAAATCTACACTGACCAGTTCATGATGCATCAGGAGATAATGAAAGCTATTAATAAAAGAAAGTCAATATGGTTAAAAAAATAGTTTAATCAATGAAGCCTTTGCAAAAAGTTGATCTTTAAGTCTGTCAGAGATAGCTGTTTCTTCTCTTGTCCATCCGGTCACTGGCTGCTCGGTCTTGAGGAAGTAAGACAACTGACGGAGACAAGGAATGGACTCCAGGACCTGACCGTCCCGGGTGGACCGTGCCGCTCTCCCTGTCTGCCTACCACCACTTCTCAAAGCAAACGTGTTCTTTCGGAACACAGCTGTCTTCTAGTTGCTTGGAGAAAAAGTCGGTCATCGGAGGTGGGCCACATATGTAGAACAAGGTCTCTTCTGAAATATGATCTCTTATCTCCTTCTCAGTTATTCTTCCTTCTGCCAAGGAAAAGAACAGATGCCAAAGTAAGGCAGACATGCTTGGATCCTGACCTGAGGGAGGGCTAGCCACAGCTCAGCAAGGGTGCGAGCGTTTTCAATCACGTGAGCCTGCGGAGTCTGGTCTTGAACCTGTGAGAGGACGGCTCCCATTGGCACCTGGATTAGCATGGAGCCAAGACCCAGGCAGAGTTCATTCCCAGGTTTCAAAAACCCATACGAGAAAGTGGGAAGCGATCGGAAGGCTCTCTTCAGAGAGCCCTCTGGCGGACCGATCTTTGGGCGAGATTCAAAACCGGCCTTCAACCAAGTACATACAAGGTTTTTTAAAAAGTCTTCAAGGCTGGGGAAATCAAGAGCAATTTAAGGGATCATTAATGGCAAACGGGATCGATCCAGCAAAGGCTAGAAGATGCATTCTCTGTGTGCGTGGGGTGCTGCAGGGTTGCGGCAAAGACCGCTGAAAGACGAGGACAGGAAGGTTTTCCTATTGGACAGCAGGAAACCTGGACAGAAGACGCCAATCGCACTCAACCTCCCTTTAGTCTTCCAGGAAGAATCCACTCGCAACCCCCCAGGTGGAGACATACCCAGCCATTAGCATGTAAACCCAACCGAATAACTAACTAGGGGAGACAGACAAACACCGCCAGGGGACTGCTCACCCGTGATGTATGGCTTGAGTTCTGCACTGATTTGTGTCGTCTGTTTTGTAACGTGCAAACTGCATGCAATCTTCTCAGGAAATTCATTGACTAAATCGAGAATATTCTTCTGGAATGTCAGACATATTGGGTCACACAGCAATTCTGAAAACTCGAGACAGATGTGCACAACCACGGACGCCGCGCCCCCACGCCCACGCAGCCCACGCCCGCCGCTCGCGCTCCACTTAGAGCTCCGCTGTCTGCAGCCTCGCAGGCCCCAGCGCTCCTGCTCGGAGGGCGAGGGCTAGTTGGCTTTCATTGAAATCTGAATATGCTAAGAAGCATATTACTAACTCTCCGGGAGGTTGTTCTCGCTCCTTTTACTCTCAAGCACTGGCAATTAGGCAGCGGCTACGCTGACCACAGTTGTGCCTTTTAACTGTTTCTGCGCTTTTGTTCTTGTTCCCACAGCTGCAAGGCGACTGGGGAGTGTGAGCCTCCTCCGTCGCACGCACTAAGTTGCAGCAGATGCGACGGTGGGGGTGTCGTTTAGGCAGTTGGGCACACACCATCCACCTCTCGGCCACCTCTCCGTGGAACCTGCCACGGGAGGGTCTCTTGACTCTTTAGGGAATCCTGGGGCTCTGGCGAGTTCTCGCTTCAGCCGCCTCCAGGCTCCAGGCCACCAAATCTCCCGTCCTGTCACTTCACTGGCCGCCTCCGCCCCATGGGCTCCATTGTCCTGCGTAGTAAGCGGGAGGGTCCCTTCCCATGTGAGCATGATGAAGCATTGTTCAGAGAAACAATGCTTGATCAAGGGAAGGCGGAATGGATAGGAGAAAGTTTTGCGGGTAATTAATACCATTACACAAGTTTGTTTGCAGCCTTACCTTAAATAGCAGCTCGCTGGTGTTCCTGGCACTGTAGAAGAGCTTTATTGTTCCTGTCTCGCGGCCACTTCCTTTGTTTGTCTGCTCCTCGCGGTGGAGGTCCGCTGCGTGCCGCAGGATGGAGAGCAGGGGGTTAATCCCCACTCCTCCGGCAATCAGCACAAGGTTTCGGGAGGCGTCGGTGGGCTGAGGGTCATAGAAGAACTCCCCACCCACTCTCAGGGCCACTTCAGAGTCCAGCGTGCACTAAGGCCGGGAAGAGAGAAAGGACCCTTCCATCTTTTCTCCAGGGCTGACCTGAACCCCGAGAGGCCTCTCTAGTCCCTGGGCTAGCCCCTGCTTCCTCTGCGCTAGGGAGGACCCTTTCAAAGCTGGCTCTCAATGGTCCCTGGGAATGGATTCTACTTGTCCATTTTCTAGGGCATTTGCTTCTCCCTGTTCTGAGCCACTCTGCACAGCCGCTCTGGCACTGAGAATGGGAGACCGTCGTTTTGCCGTTTGTTAACTTCTCGGAACTTCTCGAGGACTGAACGGGGCTGAGGAGCGAGCCCAAGGGGGCCAGCTCTGGGTCTGGCTTTCCTTTATCTGAGCACAGCTCCTGAGTTCGGATAAAAGCATAGCTGGGTGGGGGCTGGGGCCAGTGCCACTGTCCTGGGGCTGCCTGGTCCCCAGCACCCTCACAGCAGACCTGCTCCCCTCTCCCTGAGGTAGCCAGAACAGGTAGCTTTCACATTGGGGTGTGTTACGTATAACCTACGTAAACACGGCCCCCACGCCTAGATGCTTGCTAACATTAACTCCCAGTGAGTGAGGAAGCCTTAGTTTGGAGGGAAAGGCACTAACTTAGGTGTCAGAGATTCAGTGTAGCCGCAGCTCCATGATTTGTTACCCCTGTGACATCCAGCACGGCCCTACACGCTGCGGCTACATCTGTGCAACGGGCGACCAGGCCCGGGGCCTGTCCCTCCGGCAGCGCCCGCAGTACACAGAGCAGGTTTTGGTCACCTTGGTCACTGAGGCCGTCATGGGAGACAGAGCACGGAGGGGGCTGCTGCCTTCTTCCATGCCACTAAAAATCAGGATCTGGGGTTTTCAGGCGTGTGTTGAGAACACAAACTCGAACATGCATTCATGTGAAAGACATAACATTTCTCCCGACGTAAGTCAACTAAAGGAAATCCCTCCTAGGAAGCAGGATGGAGCACCACCATGCTGGCAGCGCGTGGGCCGACTGTTGAGCTGCTAACTGAAAGACTGGCATTTAAAGCCATCAGCCACGCCGTGGGAGAAAGAGGTGGTGGTCTGCTTCAGGAAAGATTCACAGTCTCAGAAACCTTGTGGGGCAGTTCAACCCTGCCCCGTACGATCGCTATGTGTTTGAGCAGACTCCACAGTATTGACTTTGGTTTGGGGAGCTTTCAGAAGTTCCGAGCTAGATCACAGCTGTCTGTGGGCAAAGGCCTTCGCATCCCAGCTTAGCCCCCCCCTCCCACCAGGCAGCTGAAGAGGAAGCACTTTCGGGCAGCAGTTAAATTTGGAGCGCTACAATTTGAAAGAAGAGTTAAACTGAGAGGCAGCCTAAGAAAGATAGAAAAAGTATGTGGATTCACCAAACAGGTCCTTTGTGTTAAAAGAACTGTTCAGTGAATGCAAACCCTTTCTCTGATCTAACTATTTTAAATACATAGGAGATTTGTACACGAAGGAAGGATGGGTTTTCCATTTCTGACAAAAGAAATGAGCAGTGCGGGAGCATTTCGGTAGGAATCACTAACATCCACGAATGGCTACAGTGGCCATCAAAGCGCCTTGAAAACGCTCCTTCCATTCAAGTTTCTGAAAGAGACTCTAAGACAAAGAACCTCTGCCCAACAATGACAATGGGGTTAATCTCCCCACAGCCTCTCCAAAGGAGCCCGGGTGGCACAGTGACTAAGCACTCGGCTGAGAACCAAAGGGTCGGCAGTTCAAACCCACCGGCCGCTCCATGCAGACGGTGTGTCTGCCTCCGTAAAGATGAGCACCTTGGAAACACTGGGGGGCAGTTCTGCCCAGACCGGTAGGGTTGCTACCAGTTGATTCAACTCGAAGGCAGTGGGTCTGGGCTTTGGTTTGGTTTCTGTCCTCCCCTCCTCCGACCCCTTCCGGTTTGTCTGTACTTCCCTCCCTACCTGTGAGATTCCGGGAGAGGCCACCTTGCGCAAGCTCAGTCATAACGAAGAAAGCCGTTAGGTCACAGACCCCAGCGCACTTTCAACCCT